GTGACCATGATGGCTGCCTTAGGAGGTCCTGCGGGGCATTGAGTGCTCACGCTGCTGCGGGTTTCCTTCAAGGTTGGCGCCAGCTGCAGCACTGGCAAGCAAACAAGGTGCAACTGAACATGTAAGTGACTGGACATGCGACTGTTCTCTCCTCTCTGGCTGCTGCGTGATTGGTGTAATCTCTCAGGTTTCCCCTTCACATGCTACACCCTCCGCTGCTGATGCAAGGGCTCAAGATGAGTCGTTCATTGGAGTGCTCTGGGGCGGGTTGGTCTCTCTCGTCGGCTGTTGGGTGTGAGGTTGTCTTGTATGCTTGTTTGCTTGCCTGTTGCCCAGGGCACGTCAAAACGGTCAACGAAAGCTTGTGTGAGTTGTTGCCAGTGTGCGCGGTCTGCTGCGACCTCCCCCCACCGTGTGCCCGCGATGCTCTCTAGTGCTCTCTCAACGTCTGCTTCAGGGTTGAAGCGGGCTGCGTGGAGGACCCGGTGGCGGCGGGGTTTTTGTTGCTCTGCGCGCCAGAACTCCATGTTCTTCCACCGGACCATGGCTGTGACTTCTTCCCCCCCTCTTGCCATGTGACCCCACAGTGACCACACTCGCTGGAGAATGTACGTGGACCATCGGGTCCATCCCCCTTTTTGAAGGTGGAGTCTGGCTGTTCTGAGGGACCGGGTGTGCCAATCGGCCCACTGCTCTGTTGGTCGTCTTTCGATGTGCAGCATGCGTCTCATGTGCTGTGCTTGTAGTGAGTTGGCTGCTTTGAGGAGGCGTTGATTGACTGGCCATGTTTCTGCTGCATAGAGTGCTGCGTTGCGCACTAGTGTCGTGTATGCTGCCATGCGGGTGCCCATGTTGGTGCGCGCAAGTAGGATGTTCTTGTGCTTGGCAAAAGCATGCCTCCCCCTGCGTGTCATCTCGGCGACCAGGGCAGTGGTCTGCTCCCCAAAGGTGATGGGTGAGCCAAGCGTGGCTATGACTGTTTTGTGGGAGGCGCATGGAACTGTTGTGTCCCCGATCTGGAAGGTTCCCCCATCCGCCTCTGGTTCGCTGTAGAGGATTGCCGTTTTAGTGGGGTGGATGTGTAGGCCATCTTCGGCGAGCTCGGCTTCTAGGTTTCGGAGCAGCTGCTGAAGGTGGCGGCGATCCTGGGACCAGAGGTAGGTGTCGTCGAGAAAACTCCCCCCGCATCTGGGTGGGCTGGGGCCTCCCTGTGCGTCTGGTCCGTGGGGGGTTGTTGCATCGATGGCTGCTTGGAGGTCTCGGGCCACGATAGCCCCGAATAGGTCTGGGGAGTCGGGGCTGCCTTGGCGTATGCCGTTGGTTTGGGGCACTGGGGTGATCACGTCCCCCACTGCAACGTTGAGGGATCGGGTCTCGAGGACGCTGAGCCATAGCAGTGCTTCCCATGGTTGGTCCCCCCCTTCTTCGGGAACGGGGCAGCGGGAGGAGGGAACTCCCCCAACTCGGGATGCAACCAACTCACTCATACTATGCTGCCAGACACTATCAAAGGCCTTACGTATGTCCAGTTTGATCAACCATGTCGGCACCCCCCAGTCTTTCGCCATTTGTGTCACGCGCCGAATGGTCGCGATCAGTTCCACCCCTTGCCGTCCACGCCTGGCCCATTGGAGTTGCGCCCCCCCTCTGATGCTGTCCCCCCCTCGTGCCAGGAGCGCTTGCGCTGTGAGTTTGAGTAGGGTCGAACTGAGCGTAATGGGGCGGGTTTCGCTCCACTCGAGCGGGGTGGGGACTTTGGGCAAGAGCACGGTGATCCCCCGATCGATGTTCTCGGGGATCTTTGCTGTGTACAGCATGTCGTTGAGGATGTATGTGATGGTGGATCCCCACCGGTCGTTGCCGAGGAGCTCTTTGGCTGCTTCGTGTGAGATGCCATCCGGGCCTGTGCTTTTGTTGTTCCCCCACTTCGTGGTGGCGAGCTTGAGCTCCGGGGTGCTGAAGGGGTGCCATGGGGTTTGTTTGCATCGTCTGCGGAGTTGGTCCCGCAGGGTGATTACGCGCGCGCTCCCCCCTGGAGGCAGTGGTTTCGCAAAGATGGAGCGCATATGCTTGAGGAGCTGTGTTTGCCACTCTGGATCGTCTTGCAGCTGGAGTTGCCACCCACGGTGGGTCTGTGCTTGCTTGAGTGTGCGTAGGGCCCTCCAGTCGAGCTTGGAGGCGTTTTCGGCCTGCTGGGTGCTCCACTTGCGATGCTCTTGTTTGTGGAGCTTTGCGATGGCCTTCCATGCTTGTCTGGCTGTGGCTCCTGGCGCGCACTGGTGGGCGGCTTTCCGCATCTCCCGCAGCTGGTTACTCTCCTGGAACTTGTTGTGCCCACTCCCCGGTACTGTGATGGCCTTGGCCAGCGTGGCAAGCATGTGGTGTGGGTCCTCCCCTTTGGGTGGGGGGATGGAGAGGAGTTGGGCAACCTGGTGTTGGGGGCGAAGCCTGCGTGGGCCCCAGGTGGTGCGGGTTGGTCCTCCCCCGAAATGTGCCCCCACTGGTGCTGCCACCCCGTCATGGTCCGAGAATGCACGGTCTCGGCAGGGTATGACTTCGCCCGCGCCTGCTGTGATTCCTTTGACCAGTATGTAGTCAAGCCTGCGCGCTTGCATAAGTTGGTTGTAGGGATGGTAACTGGGCTTGTGAAGCTCCTGGGGGGGCATCTTGATGTTGTGTGTGTCTGTCCAGTGGAGGATACTTTCCCCTCTGCCTGTGGTGGCATAGCAGCCTGCAACATGGGTGAGTGGTGGAGTGAAGGTTTCGTTGGCATCAATGCCTAGTAGGTAGCGGTTGCGATCCCCCAGGCTTTCTTCCCAGTCGGAGAGGATGTTCTCTGTTTGCTCTATGGTGGCGTGGTGGGGCACATGTCCTGCCAGTGCTCGTAGGATGTCGCGGTTGCTCTTGTGTCTCAAGGTGGTGACTACGCCCCCTGAGGTGACTTGGCTGTGGTGGTGTGTGTGGTGCTCGGCTCTGTGTGCTATTCCTTCCCCTCGGAATTCCCCTTCTAGTTTGCCATACACTAGTTGCCATGTGTCTGACTCTGCGTGGTAAAGGCCGGCATCGACGATGATTTCTTGCACAAGGACTATTGCAATGCAGTTCAGGTTCGGGCTGTCATCGAAAGTGTCGAGGAGCTTCAGCAGGTTGTCTGCCGTGAGTCCCCCGACGTTCCATGTCATCGCCCAAATTTGGCCGGGTCTTTGTCCCCCCTCGGCCTGGGGGTGAAACGCTGCCTCATCCTCGGTGGTTCAGTTGATCTCCGCCTTGAGCGGAGACCAAGCAGCGGCCGTAGCTTCCTTGGAGGTACGTGTGGCCTTGGCGATGGCACCGAGGTCAATCCGCCCTGGGCCGGCTTCTTCGGTCCCCCCTGGTCGTGGCGCTGTAGCCGAGCTCACTTTCACATTGTTGACCCAAGCGGTGCCTGTGCTCACTGAACTCCATCTGAAGGGCTCCTTTCTCTCCCCCCAGCGTCAAGTAGAGGCGCTTTGTTTTTGCTGCGAGTCTGGCTCGTCGTCGTCGGTCTGGTGGTTGTGACATTGCAATCCATACCCGCTTTGCTGTGCCGTCGGCCTTGTTCCCCAACTGGATGTTGGCTCCCCGGACTTTGGCAATGACTTCTTGTACACGGGATCGGCGCTGTTCGAAGGTCTCCCCCATGGGTTCATCGATCGGGAGAATGGCGTATCCTCGTCTCACCCCTGGCACAAAGAGCGGCGTTGTGTCGATCGGTGCTTCCACCGTTTTGAGCACGTCGAGGACTGCATCCTTGGTGTCGGCGGCCAATGCGTCAGGATCCCACCCCCCGATGATAAGGGCAGGTTTGCGGGAGCTGTCTGATGGGGCGATCGTGCTCCCCGCCGCGGATGATCCCCCACTCTTTTCCAAGCGTTCCAGGCGCAGGTTCACTTCCTTGTTGGCCTCCTGCAGTTGCTGTAGGACATCCCCCTGTTGCGAGTACTTCTGGGTCATGTCGTCAAGGAGGTTCAGGGTTTGTTGCATTTTCTTGGTGACCTGACTTTCGACGTTGTCCACGCGGGCGGAAAAACTGCGGATGTCCTGCTTCACGTCGGACAAGGCATCTTTGAGCTCCCCGCGTATAGCCTCTCGAATGACGTCGAGGTGTAGGGCGAGCCCGTCCCCCGGTTCCGGTGCTCTGCGCTTGGTGGGTGAATTTCCAGTGTGGTCCACCACCATGTCAGGGTTTGCTTGCGCATGGGTCATGTTGTCAAAGTCCCCCGCAAGGATTGAGATCTCGTCGGTCTGCAAAAAGTGCTCAGTCTTGACCGTGTTGGTGTCCCTCGCCCAATGTGCAGGTTCTGGGTCTCCCAGCGGTCAAGAAGCGGCGGGTCGCCCCGGTGATGTAGTCCCCCTGTAGGCCGCCGATGCCGTAGGCGCCGTTGGCGTGGGCCTCCCGAAGGTACAGCGCAAGGCCACCGAGGGGGTCCGTTCTTTACGATGTCCCCCCGGCGAGCGGCAGAGGTGAGGACGCAAAGAACAGCAAAGAGGTAGTACTCACCGCACTTCTATGCTCGCACAAGCGGGGCTCTCTCTCGGCTCGCCCGGGTTGAGACCCTCTCTCCGTGGGGGGCTCGGGTCTTGAACCACTCGTGGCTTGAGCCAAAATGGCTACTCTCTCTCTCTCTCTCTCTCTCTCTCTCTTTCGCCAGGGCTATGGCGAAGGGGAAGTTCCCCTCTCTCTCTCTCTCTCTCTTTCTCTTTTTCTCTCTCTCTCTCTCTCTCTCTCTCTCTCTCTCTCTCTCTCTCTCTCTCTCTCTTGTGCATGATAGTATACGAATTATCATGTACTATAATGTACTATAATAATTTGCATCGAAAACACCACCTCTCCTTGGCAGATTTAGTATTGGTTGTAGAAGCCATGAACGCCTCTTGGCTCGCACCAACCACAAATCTCAGAGTGAGAGGGAACGCCATGTTGAACTTCGTTGAACCGGAAAGTTGGCAGGCTGGATCAGCCGTCCATTACGCCCAGTGACTTCGCAAGCGCTGACACCAACATTGTAGCCTGAGCGGCCACACAGACAGGAAGCGGCAAAGCTGCTTGTGGAATGCTGAAGAGAGCAGAAGCCAGCAGCAGCAGCGGCAGCAGAAACAACAACAGCCGAAGCTGCAGAAACTCAAACGGCAGTGGCGACTGCAACAGTAATTGCAAAGAACCGCAGCAGCATCATCAGCAAGAAACACAGCATGACAAGCAACAGCAGCCGCGCCACCGGCTGCAGAGAACCACAAGACATCAGAACTAGCGTGTTATAGATGGCGGCAGCACGTGTCAGCAAAACGACAAGTAGTGCCGTACCGAGTGCTGTCCAGCCGTGGCAGCAGCAACAGCAGCAACCGCAGTAGTGGCAGCAGTTTTGGCGGTAGTTGCATTGTGGTTGGGGTAGCGGTGGTAGCGGCGGTAGCCCACCCTATCCTCACCTCAGCCCCATAGCACCTCCTCCCCCCTGCCTTTACCTCCTCCCTTCCCACCCCCTCCACCCCTCTCCCCACCCCCTCCTCACCCCCCCCTTTGCGTTCCTCCCTCGCGGGGGTAGTGGTGGTAGTGGTGGTAATGGTGGCAGTGGTGCTAGTGGTGGTAGTGGTGGTAGTGGTGGTAGTAGTGGTAGTGGTGGCAGTGGCGGTGGGAATAGTAGTCGTCGTCGTAGTTGTAGTCATACAAGTAGCAAAGCTGCAGTGGTGGTTGCGGTGGTGATGGTGGTGGTGGTGGTGGTGGTGGTGGTGGTGGTGGTGGTGGTGGTGGTGGTGGTGGTGGTGGTGGTGGTGGTGGTGGTGGTGGTGGTGGTGGTGGTGATGGCGGCGGTGGCGGTGGTGGCGGTGGTGGTAGTGATAGCGGTAATGCCAGCATAATCGGTTGCAGGAGCAGCAGCGGCAGCAGAAGCACTTGTAGCAATAGCAATGCTGCCAGCATTCGCAGACACTGGCAGCGCTCGCATGGTCTCATTTGCTGCTGCTGCTGGCGCCGGTGGTGCCTTTGTCATTCTTCTTGTTGATGACGCTACTTCTGCTTTCTTGGTGGTGGCGCTGCTGCCTTGCGTGATTCCTGCAGCATCCTGCAGTGCTTGCACCGCACCCTAAGCCTAAGCAACAAACTGAAGCTCCGACGCCTGGGGACTGATCACGCTCGGTTCCACCGTGGCTGTGGGCATCGACCGCAGAAGTTGCAGAGCCTGCTGCCAGTGGCCTGTGCGCCTGCAGTTTCCAGGTATTGTTTGACTGAGTGCGAGTCAAGAAAACCTGAGTTTGACCTAACCAGCCTTTTTACGTCCAGGGTCTGACAACAACCGAGCTTTGTGTTCTGGCTCTGCTTAAACACGGCATGATCCTACTTGACGACACTTCAGCATGGATTCGTCAAAAACATCCACACTGGAGGTCCCAAACAAGCAAAACTTGCCAAGTCGCTGGCAGGCCCCAATCGCGGCATTGTAGCCTGAGTCACGATCTGGAACTTGGCTGGGGCCGGTTCAAAAATCTCGTGTGCGTGAATGATAGAAACTTCCACCCCAGGCCCTTCTAACAAATGCGAAGCCGCTGATCGAGTTCGCGGCTAAGGCGGCCCCAACCATGCTGAACCTTGCCGCGGGATTCTCGGAGTTCTCCGTGGAGAATTGCGTCTCTGGTATGGTTTCATCACACACACACACACACGGGGTTGGTCTTACACCTTTCTCACCCTTTCTCTGCAATGTCGACGCTCGGCAGCTGCGGAGCGGCAACGCACCCCAAAAGGCCTTTGGTCTTACACCTTCGAAGCCACCTCAACGAGCTGCGCCAACACGATGAAGCAACAAATAAAAGCAAACTCCCTACCCGAGTTCTCAAGCCACTCTGTCTTTCTGCACTGACCCCTGCTCGACTGACGCTAAAGCCGCGCAAGCATTCAATGCCGGGTGCCGCTTTTTGTTGAGGACTGCTTCCAGGTGAGCGACAGCAGGTGTATCGCCCAAGGCCATCGTGAGGCCTAAGGGTTTCGCTGCTCCGCTGGCTATGAGCTAGAATATCCGACCGCAGCTCCGCAGGCCGCAGATGTTCCTCATCTAGACTAGTTAGTTTGACACTCCATATGCCTGTTTCAGTTAGGCTACTGGGCACAATCCCCAGTTGGACTGGCTGGCCGAATCCGTATACTCTCAGCGGTCTTCAGTTGTGAGTTGAACTCGGAAATTTCACATCATGCTTAAGCCTTCTGCATTCGAAGTTCGACGGGCCGACAGACTTAGGGTGTTGCGGAATGTCAACAGATAAGCACGGATCATCAGGGAAGGCTACCGCATCTTTTGTGGCGGCGTTGTCACATCTACTGCTTGTACACACTCTTCAGACATGTCAGTTAAGTTCCGCGAGCGCACATGGAATAAACATCCACGATCTGTCAAGCTTAGCGGCTTAGCACTTGGCACATGGAAACCACAAAGTGCACTGTGAAAGCCCGAGGTCGCTGGGTCTCATTCGGCGGAAGACTGGCCTTCTGGCACGAGCTGATGCACGAGTTGAAGCTGATGACGTCGGGAGCACAGCTGTCATCCGGCATGGCTTCAAAAATCGACAGCCTTGGGGCAGAGCAAAGCTCTAACATTCATTCGGCTCTGACGGATGCGAAGAATCATGGCACACAAAAGCAGAGCAACAGTGCCTCCGGGAAACGCCTCCTCCCAGCGACCGGCCTTCTCCAAAGCGCTGATGGTGGCGTTGAAGCCTTGCTCGCTTCGAGTCTTGAGGCCGCGACTTCGGGAATTGTTATGGGACCCTTCAAAGCATCATCAGCCCCTACCGGAGCCAGCCAGCCTGCCTGCCTGGCTGGGGTTCAAAACTGAACAGCCGCCTGAAGTCGTGAGAGACGGAGACAAAGGGACGAGAGGCAAAGAGAGAGAGAGGGAGACAGAGAAACAGAGGGACAGATGGACAAACAACCAGGCAGGCACAGACGCACGCAATTCACGGACCATCCTGACGTCGTGAGAGACAGAGACAAAGAGAAGAGAGGCAAAGAGAGAGAGGGAGACAGAGAAACAGAGGGACAAATGGACAGACAACCAGGCAGGCACAGACAAACGCAATTCACTGACTACCGAGTGAATAGTCTTGCACTCTCTACCAAATTCACAGGGTTCCCGGCCAGATCAGGCCTTTCAGAGCTAGGATTCTGCAGGGATCCCATCAACCGACTGAAAGAGTGTGTGTGGCCAGGACACTGATGACGCCGGGCCTGCCGAGCGAGCACAGTGTCTAGGGGTTTGTTCCACAAGGACCTGGCCTCACATCTCTTAAACCCTCCTCGTCGACCTCTCTACATGGTGCTCCAACTCAGCCACTCAGGATGCTTCAAATTATGCCAAGACTTCTTCGGCGTTTAACAGGAAGGGGGGGGCTCTTGGGCTCTGCCTCAGCTTTGCCTTGGGCATCGCTGAGAAGAGGCGCAAGGCTTGCCTGAAGCTGTCACAACAAGAGAAGAAGGTCTGGTGTTTGAATATAAGGATTCTAAAACTGTAAAACAGAAGGCCTGGGTTTGATTATGATATAGTCCGAGTGTTGCTCGGGGCGTGCAGCCGTTTGCGTCAGAGTTAATAACTTAGAATATGTGTGAGTTGCAGTTCGGGGCTCCGCAACACCGGGCCCACAGAAAATTACACGGCCGCAGCCCGAAACTTTGAAGACCTTGCGTGAAACTCATCAACCCTACAGTTTGAAGCCCTCAACCTCGGCAAAGCTGAGCCGAGCACTGCCAAAGCTGCTCCTTGCCGAAGGCAAGGATCGCCGCGTGGACCTGTTTTCTGTGGCTTGCGCAGTCTAGTACAGCATTCTCAAGCTTTAGAGGTCTCGGTTCGGCTTTCGGGCTTGGACATTCAGGTTTTTCATGATAGTCAGGATTGGGGCATGTCTACAGCCCAAAAGGCCCCAGAATGGCCCAAAGCTGCGAGCGTAGGAATTTACTGCGAGGGGCGATTGGTTCGGTACAATTCACCGGTTTGGGGCTGCAGAGTTGATGGTCTTGGTTCCCCGGCTGCCAGGGCTTTAAAACTGAGGAGCCAAAGATGTTTCGCCTACGGGTTCCGAGGTCAGTGATGGGCCACTTCGAGCCGTAACTGATGTATGCAGATGCAGTCAAAGTGTAAGCATTCCGGGTTCAGTCCTGTGCCGATAGTGCAACGCAGCATCAACGTCGCAGAACATGAGTGCAGCATTGGCTGATTCGCGCGGCCGACTGCTTGATGAACTTAAGAAGTCCTGTAACCAACACGGGTCCTACAGAAAGCCTCGCATCGTTGCTTCCTTGACATGAGGAGCCATGAAGTGAACAATACAACTTGTCGCTGCTAGGAGTGCTTAGACATGTTCCGGTTGTGGAGCTGATTTTTCCCAGTATCCTGGAACTGGCTCTGCAGACAAGCCTGCACTCGCAATGCTGTTTCCATCGAACACGCTGCCAAGCAGCATGCTTCTTTCTTAGCGGCAATGTCTTCGGGGCCTCACGAGCATGGACAGCGTATGGGTCAGTGATAATGTGGAGCGCGCCCTCATCTTAAGCTCTTGCATTCTGGGCATACCCACAAAGAAGCCCTGGCTTCGAAGGCTGCAGCGGTCGGCCAAAAGTTTCCCAGGAGGCACATCCACGCGCCGCGCAACCTAACACGCCTCCCCGCAACAGTAGAACCTCATGCCCGACTTCCTGGCAAGGATGCCAGGCCTGGTACAAAGACCCAAAGCCTCGCACGGTTCATCAGAGATCCTCAAAGAACAACTCTCCCAAACCTCAAGGTTTGGCAGTTGTGGCGCAGTTGCAAGCGCAAACGCAGAAGCCCAATGTGCTGCACTTCACGACTCGAACCCATTCCTGAATGCGAGAACAAGGGAGAACAAGAAGATGAACAACAACACCCTGAGGTATGAGACATGCTCCTATTCGGCTCTATGGGCCCTAGGCACGCGTAGACCCCAAAAACCATGGCCTCGCCAGTCCGCACCAGGTCCAGCACATGGCAGAAAGCTCCTGGCCTCCTGTCTAAGGCAAACGTTTAATGCCACAGTCTCGGATTCCTACTTGCGAGGGTCTGTCTTCCCTGCCCCCCTCCCTCCCTCGCCGTCTCTCTCGTTCTTTCTTCGGTTCCCTGTCTTTGTCCTTTTCTCTACCGGACTAGGGGAAAAGTTTCCCAAGCGCACCCCAGTTTGGAGTCGAGAAAGCTGTACAGACCCGGGCTAGGCCTACTGCCCTGCCAGGAGCGAGCGAAGACTGTTAACAACACCACTGTCCAAGGATAAACAAGCCAAACGTGGGCCCAACCCCCTCGCAGCCTCCACACTATCTCTCTGCCTTCGTTCGAAAGGCGCAGACACCCAAAGACCAAATACAACATAACATGAAAGCCGAACTGCATCGCATGATCGTCGAAACAGATATCTGGTAAGGATAATACACCCTGAGCTCTAAGCTCGAGCAGAAACCCTTTTTGAATCACTGGCTCCAACGAACAAAACAAACAACACCTCTCCAATACGCCTGTTGACACTTTCTCGCTCCACCAGCGACTGTATTGAAATCCCTCTTCTCTCGAAGGCCTCTGCGCCAGCTCTTGCAGGGCCTGCAGGCTGGCAGTGTATCATGGGATCCTTAATTAAGGGAGGGTGTTCAAAGGTGGTATATAACCCAATAATCCCTTATTCTCCCTAGGGCTCCCTAAGGCTCCGTAGAGTTCTCTGCCATTGGAACCCCCCCACCCTTAAGGATCCCATAAGTAACTGTAGCTACACTAACCATGGCACTTATCTTTCAGGAGGCAGATTACTAACGACTAGAATAACGACGAACGATGATGGATACTGGTGCTGAGACTGATGATAACGGTACTTGCAATGAAGAAATGAGGTAGTGGAATGACACGCATAGCAAGAGTAGCAGCAAGAGTAGCTAATGATCTTGCGATATCATCCAATCATCATCGTGGTCATCATCACCATCATTATCAGCGAAGTACGAGTCCGCCGCAACCCGAAAACACATTGCAAACTATAATTTAATGTTCTCCATAGCTATATCATGAAGTCAACACCCAGATGACATGCAAGTAGCCGGAAAAAACGTGGTCGTCATGACAGTTGCTCCGAGGATACATCTCCGCGATTGCATGAGGTTGCCGTGCACGGACTTTGCCAGTCCATGGCGCGGGGTGCTGTCATTGGGGCTTGTCAAGCAGCATGTACCCCGAAGTTTCAAGGGGGGGCTGTGATTCGCCATGTTTCTTGTGATCATCGGCCACGCTGGCATCGTGTTGAATTTGGGGACCATTTCGGAACACACCAACACTCACGTGCATGCTGCCATAATTGAAGGCGCTACCGCAGCTACAGAATTAGTTGCCTAGCAAAGCCAAATGCAAACCGCATTTTGGGTGCACCTGCTAAGATAACCACCAATGCGCGCACCTCTTGCCACCACCACTGACACACATCACCACATCCACACACATGTCGAAGCTATCAGCGACATCTGTCTACTGTAACGGCTGAAAGGATGACCTCCAGGTTCATTCAACAGAAAACGGCGCCTGAGAACCTCTCTCACACTAGCCACTCTCACAGCTACCTGTGTCCTCGGTGGATCCGTCAATCTATAGTTTCGGCAGCCACCCGTTCAACGAGCACAAGCCCTCTCCTTAAACGCCCTTTCAAGAAGGCCTTCTTGCCCTCGGCACTCCGTGCACGGAGAAGGCCATCCCCCCAAGAGGCCAGCGCTCGTTTAATACCTATTGGTAGGTTCGGGGCTGGACTTTTCAGTTTGAGGCTCTGGGGTGTAAAGGTTTGGTCCAGACGAACGGAATAAGGAGGATTGAACGCTTCCTTCCGACTCAACTGCACGTCGCATGTACATAGAAGCAACATACAAACATGTATCCAAACATGTGGCGTGTCTTATGTAGGGGTTCGATATTGAGCGCATGACACACAGAAATGCTGGCATCGCAGGCACTGTAATGGCGTTGGTCGCAAGTGTTGTTCTCTTCCCCTTATCTGCATTTGTTTGTTTCTACCTTGGAGACCATGTGGATTCCGTAGAGCAGGGAGGTCAATACTTGCCAGGCATTTCGGGCAAGAACTGCCGAAGAAATGCATCAACAGCCTGGCCTCAGCCCAAAGCCAAAAGAGCAAAACCCACGACCGTGAAACAAAACCCCCAATTAGTCACCCACTTCCTAACTCCGCGACCCAAGATCCCATCCCCAATGTCCCCCCTGTGCTCCACAAGCGTCCATCCCGGGTGACTGAGGCGGAGAGCAGTTCATTCATGCCGGAACACCCTTCAGGGCTTCAGGACTGCGTTCACGGAGCGGTGGGCTAGCAGGCAGGGGAGAAGGTTCTATACTGAAGTCGAGGGCGTTTGCGGATTCCTCGAACTTTCAGAACTCTGGGCTTTGTCGGGGTTTGGTTCGAACCTGGCCTGGTCTCCCAAACCGCGCCTTCCCAGAAGCCCAGAATCCTCAAGCCGTCGAGCCCAAACCACAGACCTCCACGCTCGCGGATGCGCGGCCGCCACCAAACAGGAGCCGCCGCCGCATCCAGCAAGGGGAACCCTCTTTGGGGCTCATACTTGCAATTCTTCGAAATCAAGGCTCACGGGTTGCAGGGAGCTTTTGGGCAGGTGTGAGCCTCGAGAGTTCATCTTCTGCCCTGCATGGCAAACCGGTGCTGTCGCCACCAGTTCAGTTCAAGGTCTTTTTGGCGGTTTACCCTCACAGCTGAGCTGAAACACTTCGGAGAGTACGCAGACCGGTGCTTGAAGGCGCCTGAGGGCTTGAGCGATGAGCTTGCTCTTGGCTATTGAAGCATTCCATGTAAGCTCCTAACACACGCACATGGAGCACAAACCTACGCATACACGCCTACGCGAATGCGTACCCTGAGTCAGATGCAGACAGATGAATAAAAGAGAGGCAGCAAGAGAGAGAGCGAGAGAGAGCAAGAGAGGGAGTGAGGGGGAGAGGAAACTAGGGAGGGAGGGAAATGTGACCAGAAATAAAATTACTCTAACTACTCTTGGGAAGAATCGCGAAATCCCTCAACTTTGCATCACTGCATTGTAACTGGACCAACCCTAGACTTCATAACATCCATGCGGTCGAGAAGCAGCGCAGAGAGAGACTCTGTAATTGCAAGAACATCGCCGCCACGATCCTCATCCGCTCCTGCTGCCAGCAGCTGCGCTCACTCTGTCGGGATTGCGGGTTATGTACGCCTCGAAACGTCTATTTAGAGGATAATGCTAGTTATCATAATAACTACCGTAATAATAACTAGCATAATAACTACTTATAACACCCCAATTAGGGTCGTTAGCTGGAACCTAAACATCGATCAGGAGCTCCTTCGAGCTCTTCCTCTGGACCGCAGCACTTCGGCTGGTACTGTCCCATGGCTTCCCGGCAGTTAGGCCCAGAGCCGTAAATCTAAAACTCAAGCCACGGCTGAAAGTTGAACTGATGATCATAAATCATTACATGTCTGTTTTCGCTTGCACTCTTCCCGATCGAAAGTTCTATCATGTAATCAGATCAGCCTTGCTGGTTCCAACGATTTGACAACATTTTGGAAATACGCATTCGCGGGCGAAGCTCGCTTTAAATCTCAACCCGAAAGAGCTGAAGGGTATGCCTGCGGACTCAGGCAATTTCAGCGCAAAGACAGCATTAGCTCGAGCTACACGATTGGTTCTGTTGACACGCAGGTCTGGAAGCGAGGAGCAGTTAAAAGTCCAAGGTACTGTAGAACAAGCTCGAGGCGAAGAACGTGCGACTGGCAGTAAGAAACAGTTTAAGCTCCGGTTTTTGTGCAGGGTTGGACAGGTCCTACTAGCAGTGATGCATTCTCCCTTTTTCTCCGGTCCGGTGCTACACTCGGAAATGTCTTCCTGCGCGACATGGACCTGCGGGTTTTCAATCCTAAATACCTAAGCCTTAACACCTGAAATGCTAAACCCTCTTGGCCCTAAATGCTCCTAGACTAAAACCCAGCGAAGCAAAGAGAGCGTGGACCCGAACTCGAACCCTCAAGCCCCCCTGGCCAGCAAGCACTGCCCTGACCCTAGATTCGAAACCACTATCCAGTTCCTAATCTCCTAAACCCAAGCCCTCACATTCCTACCCTTCTCGTCTCAAGACGACTCTTTTGCAGCATTACCAAACCCGCGAGACTCGAAATCTTTCACCTTGCCCTGAGAGACCCAACCCGGCCACGAAAGAGGGGGGAGCCCGGGCCCAAGTCCCCCAAGGGCCGAAGGATCTGAAGGTTGGCTCGCGATTTTGTTAATCTGCTTGCTTTCTTTCCACCTTTGCGAAATGGCGTAGATGCAACAAGATTGAGCTTGACACTCCGGTTATGCAAAGTGCCTGGCTGGGAGTCTCGAGGCTCAGGGCATCAGACTGTCGTGAAGAGGTTTCACCACCCTCTCGGGGACTTCGATGCCGGGCCGCAACATACTACGGCCTTTTCAACTTTGTTGAGGGCCACTTGCAGAACTCAGTCTGTCGTGAGAGCATCAGCAGCGAGAAAGGCTCTCGAAGCTGTCGTGTTCTGGAAGATCTCCCTGCTGCAACTATGCGACAAGGAGTCCCCTTGCGTTCATTCGAACGCACAGGGGTGCAGCATACTCATGATTGCGATGATGGCGAGGCAAACATGTTTCCAGGCTGACAAATGCGAAACGAGCACAGCACTGCACCCCAGCTCCACTCCTGAAACATCAGTAGCAAAGAGGGCCCCTGAGTGTCCGCGGGCTAAACATCTCATCGGAAAAGTGGTTGTCGTAAGCCTCAAAGCCCGCGACTGCGGGCATCTTTAATACCCACCTAACTTCCTCGAGCCCCTCCGGGCAATCTTGAACCCGAAATCCTTGACGGCCTTAACCGCGACCTTGTGAAGTGAAAATCACAAGCTCAAACAAAGTACTTTGCTGCATCGAGCCGTACTGGCCCAGGATCTTTTACCAGCATCGCCAGGTTTTCCATGAGAGCCTGCTGTTGATGCTTCGGGACTTTGGATCGGCGTCTGAGTCGCCGTTGTGTGTTTCGTGTGTATGTGTATGTGTGGGGCTCCTGCGCCTTAATGCCACTCCACACTCGGAGACTCCGTCACGGAGCATTCATGCAGCCCTTTCCCCAGGCACATGTAGTACCGTACTAGTCAGAATGACGAACTGATGACAAGTATTTTCAAAACAGACACGCGGACCCTCGGGCGCAAGTTGACAGCTCAGGTGGCTGATCCGGCCTCTGGACCTTTTGATCTCAAACTTATTGCTCAGACTTCTGGCTTTAAGGCCGTCTCCTCGTTTTGTTGCATGGCCTGAGTAGTGAATTATCGTCTGCGACCTATATACTGCCACGGACCCGAACATTCAACATTGAGAAGGTCTTGGACAGGGTCTTGAAGTATTCTGAGTCCAACAATGCAGGTGCAGGCTCCGGGTCCAAAGGCTCAGATGATTCAGGGATCGGGAAGCTCCAATCTTGAAGCCACCGTCAGGCCCTCTTGTTGCCGGTAGGTTGTTTATTGCTCCAGCCGAGTGCTCAAAGTGCTTATTGCATCAAAGTCTGGAGAGAAAGCAAACCTGCACTACTTCGCCATCAAAGGAACCCCTTGCCGGCCCACCCCCGAATGGACTCGACTTGCACCACTCGTGCCAACACTACACACGGAGCACCGAAACCAAGCCCGGTGCCAAGAGGGCCTGCTTAAAAAGCCTGGGCACCAGCCAGTCGTCTGCTCTTGCACTCCACTACAGCCACTACAGGGCCAAAGAGAATCTGGCTCTTCATTCAAGGGTATACAAACAACACTGATCGGCCCTTGCAATATATCTGAGATTTGGCAATGCCTGGACACGGTAATGTTCGGTGGTGCCCGTGGTGAGAGACTTCGAACATAGACTAGACCCTGAAAAAGAATCCCAACCGGAACTCTGGCACGAGAGCCGATCGACCGTGGCGGGTGCCCAGAGCGGACTAACCACTCCGTGCGCCAACAAGACATACCATATAACTTACTACCGGGACAACCTGAAAGATTGACAGCAACAAACACAAAAAAGAATCCAGTTTACAGCGCAAGTGATACTGGCAAAACTAAAAAACCGACGACATGACGCCAAGACGACTGAGACGACCTCCCACTCAACTCCTCCTCCTGCTCCTGTTGCTGCTGCTGCCGCTGCCACTGCCACGACCCTGTCAATAAGAGGAAGAATAACCATTGAGAACCATAACAGCAATGACACAACTAATAGAATTAATCATAATCACAATGGTACTTCCCAGAAAATAGTTTAGCAATGCGAACAGCAAAATACTACTACTGATACTGATACTAGCTAGTTCTCATACTCATCCCATTCTCACGCTCATACTCATGCTCATAGTGATACTTGTACTAGTCATCGTCATAATCATTATCATGACATGGTGACGATACTTAAGCTGGAAATTTTCATGACCATGAGATAGATGATGCTAATAAATGGTGATGACGATGGTGAAGATACTATGTGTATAAATATTACTATCAACATTGCGATTTTGATTATAATTCATTGTTTTTGTCGTTATTATTATTATGATGCTCCGCCTGCTGCTGCAAGATTTCTTACGAAAGCGAATCCACGAAACTGAGCAATAAAGTAACAGGAACTAGCGAAACCAGGAGTCCTGCGAGTGGCTGTGAACGAAGACGGAGACGAGAAGTTGGCTCGCTGCTGCATATATACACCGGGGAGCACTGGCAGCAACAAACAAAGACGAGAAGAGTTGAATGCCTTACAGTACAGATGATCGGGCTGCTGCAAATGGCACAGGAGCTCACGGTACTATCGGTACTCCACTCAAGACGTCAACCTGGGCCACCTCAGGCATGCGGAGGGCTTAGCAGGGGTGTAACCGAGGGGTTCTGGAGCTACAGACATACCAGAGCGTGAAGTTAGGCATCCTCGACGTAACTACATGCCACCACTACACATAAACTGACATCGCAGCCTGGCAACACCACAAGACCGGAGATGCAAAATGAATGCTCTCCCCGACATCTCTGCGAGGAACGTCGAGCAGCTAAAATCCTCTGAGATTTTATCGCGAATCCCTGCTCTAATCCGATTGAGAGAAGAGTACACTCGAAACAGCTGCTCCAAATTCAAGCGGTAAAGATAGAATCCGACGGACCACACCAAATTTCCAGCCGAAACTCGAGAAATCACAGAACCCCTATTAAACCTCCCACGACGCACCTCAGAGGCTGTTCTTGCTTCGCAAAGGGTAAGAGGAAACCTCTTGACCTGGAGCTCCAAGCTGTGGTAGCACTAATATTAATACGAATACCAATACTAATACTAATACTAATGTAATACCAGTACTAATACTCATACCCATACTAATACTAATACGAAGAACTCTTTAGGCTCAAATTTAGGCCTACTCGGGGCACTTCTTGGCCCAGTTGCCGAGCTAATCTGAAGCGAGAGTTCAGCTGTGTCTGGGCACCGACACTTCTCACAGATCCTCACTTCCCCTGCTCGAATCTCAAGGCCATGCTCAAAAACTCCGCTGTTTCCAGAAAACCTTCGTGGCAGCTGCCCAAGCTGAGCAACTGCTGTTAGCGTGCGAAGCTACGTGTTTGCATGAACTTCAAAAAATCAAACTCCCAGCCAGCAACGCCTGCCACCCAACAGGGCCGGGCCACGAGAAAAGACGGCAAGGTTGTGCAGCCTGGGCTGGGATGTTGTGGTTTGAGTCTGGGAGCCGCAAACACTGCATGCAAGATCCCCCGGCTCTGAAACTGCAGGTGTTCGTACGGCCTCGCTTCATAAGGCCTGCACTAGCTGGGAAGCATCCAAGAAACTGCCGACACGGTGATGCTTGTGCAAGAAAGCCGATGAATAAGGCATCTTGAAACCTACCAGTAGCGATGAGCCTGATCAGATCGACAGTTCTGGAATCACCGAAACCCATGACCTTCACGTCCAGCAAGCCCCAGTCTCTGAAAGGCACAAGCCCCGTTCTGCTCAGGCTGTTGGGATCCATGAACCTCGATGTTCCGCCGTGTCCTGTGTCCCTGTGGCATTTAGCATGGATCGTCTTTTCGACATGTTACCGTCGTGATTCGTGCTCTTCGTTGAGCCCTTTCTGTGTCCATGGGGTTCTCATATCGTCGAACCGTCAATCCTGCGAGGTTCTTGTACCCTGGTTTCCGTGATTGACACGATCCGCCTGATAGTAAAGTGGAGGTAGCAATCGTTTTCTAATGTTCGGTGAATACCAGGTATCCTTCCAACCATAGCCATGGGGCTGGAGCGCCGAGGCTTTCCGGAACTGCGCCCGGAGGTTGTCGTCTTGAGGGGCGTCCTTCGGCGGTCTTGATTGCTGGTCTTATCCATCCTTGAGGAAAGCTTCCAAATACTTTTGCCAAAGTCCCTTTTTTGATGGGGCTAACAAATGCGACGTTGCAGACAACGAAGATGGCCTAAGACGGCCATGAGACTTTCCGCACTAAAAGCTGCCGTTGCTTGTTTCTTACTGCCAGGCATTTCCTGACTGAGCACAGGGTGTCAAGGCTTTTGAGCTTCTAGAATGATGGAGGCTCTGTGCTCAGCACGTGCTATGATCCGGACCGTACCATGTGCAACTCAAGAGCTCTCAGTCTGTGCCCGATCTATTAGCTATACCGCATGTGCAAACACAGAGGTAGAATCGAAGCGATGTGGTGCTGGTGATAGCAGTGGTAAACAACAACTGGAGGCTTCAGTCCTGCCTGCGCCCGACTAGCGCGACCGTGGACAGCCCAGATTCAGGTCCCGAAGCCCGAGTCCCATAAACGGAGGCCTTGTCGAGCTTGCGTGATAAGCTTTCCAGCTCGCGCTGCAGCTTGCTTAAATCCTTGGTCTGGCTTCAGTCTGCATCTCTGCGTCTGCGTGTACTCATATATATATATATATATGTATATTTCCTCACATACAGACATACATACATGCAGCATACATATATGCATACATACATACATAAAACGTGTTTATATGTGTACGTATCTTTAAATGTATGTATATGTAGGTATGTATGCTCTACACACCTACAACCATCATATCTTCAATCCATTAAGGTCGGCCCAGGAACTGCGCGCATGGCGACCTGGTCAATTGCACGTGCTGGTCCTGGGCGAACTCAGCAGCGGCCCGGATTCGAGGGCTTGTTGAGGATTTCTTGTGACACGAGCCAGCGACATACCTTTTAGGTCCTCAGATTCGAGCAGCCCCTGTACATCGTAAGGAATGCCGTCCAACAGGAAAGCCTAGGTACTGGAACAGTGTAAAACAACCCCAATTCAGACAAGGTCGTGCACATTAGAGCTTAAACACGACTCAGCTTGGTCGGCTGCTTCTCCGCGGCTGGATACCAAAAAATACACATGCCCTATCCTAAACGAGTTGATAAGACACGGTGCAATGCAGCAGCAAGTGTAGCTATGTATACTAAGATTCCGTCGTGCCTGCGATCCACTTTTTTCTATACCCTCTCACACTCAGCCTACCCAAATAAAGCTCAATGAATACACGTGCAATCTACTCAAAGAGGTGTCGGTGTCCTGGTCCTCCTACACCCGTTACAAATCCCTTCAACACGAAGAAAGAAACTACAGCCTACGTATGCCTACGTCACAGCGTTCTTCGGCAGGCTGTTAGCCCGGTATGTGAACCCCTCAAAACGTCCGGGCCACCTTTGCAGCGTAAGATCCCATCCTCGGCCACGCCAGTGATAAGGGCGGGGGGCTGGACTTCGGAGCGCTTGGGTTTGCTGTCGCTGCTCGGTTGTGAGGGCTGCAGGGCCATGCAGTTGCTGTGCTGTCTGAATCTGACGGATTTTGAGGTCGATTTTGGCTCCAGCGCTCTGTGGAGCATCCATTCTTCAAGCAAGGGCAGCTTTCGGGCTGTCACCCCGGGGTCTCGGCCTAGATCTCTCGGAACAAAGAGCAAAACACTCCGTGAAGCCCCAGTCGCCCATCAGAGGCTTTCAAGCATGCATGACGATTGAATCATGAGGGCTGGTACTGAACTCTCGAAGTCTAGCACGAATCAGAATGATGAACCGAACCGACGGCCTCGCGAACTTGTATGCTTGCTCAGGCGCTATAAATTCTTCGAGGGTAACCTCACCATCGCCATTGTCCTGAGAAAGGCTGAACTACCACGACTTTGCTATGGATGCATTAACCGTTTTCGGATGCACGTTGCGGACTTTCGCCCTGTCCGTGGTGGACGAAAACCGGAGCAGTGTCTGAGATTAACTTTTTGTCACATGCATGTGGGTCGAACCCCGCCAAGGCCATCCATGATGTGTTGCACACTCAACGGCACTCAAGAATCTAAAGAGGTCTCCAGACGCATGGCTCCAGGCTTCAGGTCCTGCAACTAGGGGCGGATATGTCATGTGAAGTCGAAAATCCTAGCAAAACTTAAACCCAGCAGCCCCAAGGGCTTGTTACTCGAACTCTGCATGAAGGCATGTGCCAGCCTTGAGGATTCTGTTGAAATCTTCAACCCTCGCGCAGGATGTAAACTGCTCCTTTGCTGTGTTCCGGCCAAGATACGATGATGTGAAACAGGGCGGCACCTGCGTCCGATGTCCAGCTGGCTTCAGGGCGGCTTTGGTGAAAGTTAAACCGGCCTGCCTTCCAAGCCTTCAGTGAAGACACGCCCAGACCGTGAGCCCTTACAGCCTTCAGTCTCTGAACGTTACAGCCTGCTTTGCACAGCTGCGAAAAAGCCAAGTATCAAACGCAGCCGACCTTCGTGCACATCCACCTCTAGCGTCTGGAAATAAGCTCGCACCTAGCAGTACTCTTGAGCGCTCGGAAAGCAGGCATCACCCGTCAGCACGTGGACGCTTGCATAATTAAAGTCTGTGACTTGGGCTCTCGAATGCTGGCGTCTGAGGCACTCGGCAGAAGGAAACTCACGCTAGAACTCTGGGCTTCGATCACTTTTGTTGTGGCTCCTCTTGCAATTGCTGCTGACGTGTGGTGGTAACGGGTGGTGGTGTGGAGGATGCTGATGACAATGGTGGTCTTCATCACTATGAAGATGGTGACGAGGGCAGTGGCCATGAAGATGAAGGTGGTGCTGGACGTGGAGATTGCAGGGGAATCAAAAAAAAACCGTCAAGGTTGGGAAGACGAGTGCATGAAAACCTTACACGGTTAAGCAAATCGACTTGCATGCAAGCCAAGCGGCGATCGGGTCTTGCAACACAGATGAAAGCTGCGACTGGGAAATCATACCTTGAGTTCGCCAGCGGCTCTTGGAAGCTTCGAGGCGGACAGCAACGAACTTTGGCATTTCGCTCGGTTCGGCCAAATCGGACTCACAACGATCAGCCAGGAGAACTGAGACTTCAGCATGTCTGAGTTGGAAGGCTTCAACCCACAGTTCGTGGAGTTTTGGTGGTATCGTAGCTTGTCAGAGCCACCACAAGGGAAAGGAGCAAACTGCCCATGTGTCCCTTTCAGAGGTCTGATTCTTCGTTCATGCCGCACTTTGGAGGCAGGAACATTTTGGCCGAAGCCTGCGGTGCACTAACCCGAACTCCATGTTTCAGCATCGGTACCATTGCCTGTCTCATCGATAGCCTGGAACACTCTTTCCAGTTTTTTCACCTTGGCGAAATGCTGGGCTAAGCACACAGCCACTCTGAGAAGCATGGTCGGAAGCAACACCAGCACACGAACCCGCAGTGCCTGGAAGATGACGTGCTGCTTCGACAAGCAATGCCGGTGTTGGGCAGCAGAAGATGCAGGGCCCGGCCAACAACATCCCACTGCTCACACAAGCCATAACATGGCCATCACATGCTAGTGCTGCGAAACAACATACCTAGGGCCGACTTTTGAACTCGATGAAGACACTCATTCTGGCAGCTTCCCAGGCCCTTTGCTGCCATCTTCGCTACCAACCGAAGGGCGCCCGAACCCACAACCAAAAAAGGGAGGAACGAAAGGCGTGCAGCTGTATAAGGGCCGGACATACTGCGACTTCTTCTGTAACCGCTCCTTGTCAGCACCCATGTGTTTGCATGTCCCACTTAGGGTTCCGAACATTGCATATCAAATCGAGTACAATGCACCCTTACGCTTATGCTGCCCGCAGTACCATACCTCAATACCTCATTCTCCCGGCCCCGTGGTCTCTTTGCTGCGCCAATCTCCAAAGCCAGGTCCATCTAGTCTTGCGCTTTCCGACCACTTCTGTGATGAAGTAACCATTACTCGCTGGTCTCATTCACATGCTAAGCCTAGCCCAGAAAGAGCTCGGTGTGTCCAACGAGTGTCGGGATGTAGACAAGTGCGGACATAGCCTGTTATCCGAACCGAGGAAGAGTACTACAGTTCCTGGAACTTGTCAACTTCAGCCTTGAATTGGTACTCGGTACACCTGCTTTGACTCGACGGAGTGCCTATACATTTCGTGCTGCTCAACAACACAAATAAGCTTTGGGAGATAACCAGCCCTCGAAAGCACCAGTACGTGCGGCCAGTAGAAGCACTCGCGATCAGATTTAGGAACACACGACAAAGCCGTCGAAGCATCCGAAGAAGTGTTGGGATGGCGATGGCACATGGAAGAAGCCTGTCGCATTTTGGTGACGTCGCCTGTGGTGTTACATCGAGAGGCACGAAAAGAGTGCGGAGGAAATTCCTCGTTCCGGCTTTATGACTGGTGCCGGAGCTCGGATCTTGTAACTCGACAGTGGCGGGCGAGGCTTCTGCATTGGCCGGTTTACGCCACCACCTGACTGGTTCTCCCGACACGATCGTTTCTACGTTCTTTCGCAGACTTCTGTCCAAAACAATCCGCACGAAAAACACGCAGTCTTTGCTCGGAAACGCGGTTTCAGCTGGTCGTGCTCGAAAGCCAAGAAGCGTGCGTGTCAAACCAGGAGAGTCAGTGTTCGGCTCAGGTCCCGATGGTTCCGAACACATGGAACAGGTTCCCAGCTGACGGCACGACCTAAGCGCCCTCGCAAGCTACTCCGAATCGCTGCACAGAAGTTTGCAACCAGAATGGTCTCTGACCCATGACCTATCCGCTGTGACAAAGAACTGCTCTGGAAAAGCCACAATGGACATCACCAAGTTGGCTGTATAGACAGCCCCGTGTTAGTTCTGAGGAAGGGTCAACAAAGTCTAGTGCGTGAATCTGTGGGTGTGCAGCAAGGTCACTTGTACAGGTCAACTGGAAAAAGGTCTCTACCAAAAAGGGTCGGGTCTTTGGTGCGTGTCAATTGCAAGCAACTACTTCACGAGCTGTTCGTTCCTCCGAAAATGTCCTCAACTCATACGCTTGGCAAGCTTGCAGACCTCATCAACGTTGATAGAGAAACAAACGATCGAACCAATCGCATCCAGGCCACCACAACAAGATGCTCCGCATCGTTGCTTGCGGCGTCCAAAGTGTCTTTGAGAAAAATTGCAGTTATCACCTGGCAGCAGTAGTGTTGTTGAAGACGTGCTGGTACTCCAGCAATCATCGTCACGTCGCTTTTTGGGAAGATGCATGCTACCGGACAGCAGCCTCCTGCATTCCGTTCCGATTGCAGTCAAAGCATTTTTAGCGTTCAGCTGCTTCGCAATTTTGTAAATCAAAACACGATCCAGGAGTCCACGAGTTCTGAAACAGACACCACCATGACTCATCGCATCCTTTGCAAGAATGGAACCTTTCGTTCCATCAGTCTTTCAGAGACTGTGGGGCGACGGCGGTGACGACAGGTACTAGTACGACTACGACGACGACTGCTACTGATGATATGGCCACTACAACTCCTCGTCGTACGACGACGACTACCTGCTCCTTCAGCTCGTCTTCTACATGCCAAACTCCGACACCACCTCAAGGCATCCATGCAAGGGAAGAAGGCTGCGGCTTGTCAACCTGGCGCAGTGGCCTGTTCCTAAAACGATAACCTTTTATGAGTCCCCATGTTGGGAAATGGTCGGCTGAGCTCCCTGCACGAATTACGGCGAACACCACCAGCGTTATGTAGGCGAGAAAGAAAATGGAAAAGACACTGCTCCTTGGACCGGGTCATATTTGCGTTGCTTTTAAACAGTGGGGCGAGTCGCGATGCCAGATGCAAGGTTGAACCCTTGCAACTGCTAGCACAGGTCAGGTGCGTTTCGGGGTCTGAGGTGGGCCACTGTTGTAAAAGAGAAAGATGACACAACGTCTGTTTATGCCTGCATTGTCAGAATGTAGTTACATGTGCATGTGCCGAGGTAAATGCACATGTCATCTGTATGAAGATTCGAAGGCTCAGACCCAAGATGCCATGCAGGATTGGGCAGGTAGATGCGGTACTTAGGTCGCTCTTATGATTGCACCCCTTACCAACAACCCAAGGTCCAAAGCCAAGGACAGAAAAACTTAGAGATTGCAAAGTACAAGAAATCATCCTTCAGTACCCTCACGGACCAGGGCAAGTCACACTTGATCAATCACCGGCCGTGCATATGTAGGCCAGTTGCCTGCCGGAACACTTCCGTTATGTAGCTCCTAGCTGCCGCAAGCAATCATGTTGCTCCGAACGATGGCTCGGACGAGGAAGAACGAAAGTGCACAAATGCCAGCACGAGACAAACGACTTTTGCACACTCGTGCTTCTTCAATGAACGGACTAGTACTCGGCGTGCAAAATGTTCCTGAGGACTTGGATTGTCTGGAGCACGAGCAATGACCTTGACACTGCGTTAGCTGCAAATGGGGTTTGGCTTGCACAAGTGGCATGCGTTGGCTGTCAGAGCGGAGGCCGGGTGCTTCAGAGGTGGGATCAACCAAACCTTTCACTGTCACTTGATCTGACAGCCACCACCCCTTGGCCAGTGACACTCAACCAGAAGCATGAAGACCTACTCCAACCGCCTTTCCTGCCCGACCCTGAGAATCCTGACCTTGCCACGGAAATGAGAGCCTCGGTGCCCTAGTACTGGCGACTAATGGCGTCATGATCGAAATCTTGTCCTGCCGCCTCAGGAGCGGAAAGCTCCGTCCGCCTACAGCCCGAGGCCCTGGAAAGCAAGATGGACCCTTGGCCTGCAAAGGTAATTTCCTTAGTTGAGGGCGAGACGTCAGGCCGACTTCAGTAGTCATTGGAGCGAGCTAACATCGCTGCTGAGTGTCGTAAAGCGTATACATTGAGCGCAGCGCTGTACCTCAGCAACAACGTCATCACATGGCTGCTGTGCAACTGCATATGTGTCAAAACACTTCATGGAACTCGTGCTGCAACCCGTGAGGCCTCGCCGCAGCGATGCCGCGGCTCAGGTGAAACAAACATGACCACCAAACTTTTGTCTCGGCCTGCCTGTTTAAAGCTTAAGGTGTAGATCAGGCACCATAATGGACCCAGATCCACTCCCGCCATATCATGTCCTCATCCGGATTGGCGATGAACTCTTGCAACCTTGTCTGTGACATGAGATTAGGGCAGTGCTGCTTTCCATTGCAGAACGCTTGAGCTTCGTAAACATCATGCCCGTCAACAGTTTCATGGCGGTGCGTTTCAGTCAAGTCCCGAAGGCACTTGCAAGTCTTCAGACAAGGATTGACTTCAAACTGCTCGGAACTGAAAGCTGAAAGGCGGCAACACGACACTCACGGAAATGAGATTTCGATGTATATAGGACGCAATCTAAATGGAGCGCGCATGAAATCAGGATTGCACTTGCTTCATGGCCAACGAGAGGGTTCTCTTCGCTTCTCTCATGAATTGCTAGTGCCATGAGCGCTCCCGCTCTGCGCATGCATGCGTACAGACCGGCCCAAAACGGGGCTTCTATCGTGTCGACGAGTCCGAACTACCAGATAACAGTGCCTTTGGTTTCCAAGGACAATCTGAACTGTCAGTTGAGGCCAGCTCGGGAAGTTTGGCGCGGGTACCGTGGGAGTTCCCGAACACTACGAGAAGTTTTTCTTACGCTGCGAAGGACCCTTAGCAGTGACCCACGATGCTTTGGGTTGCTTTTAGGTCGAGGCTATTGCTTCCAAATTTCTAAACCGTACATACGCGATTGGCGAGGTAACCGCAGGTTCAGCTATATTTTTTTGCGATGTGCTGCTCTTGATGATCGTCCACAAGCGCTGCGTCTATGACTCTATGATAGCAACGGTCAGATGCACTGGGTCTCACGTCGTCTACTGTTTGTGCTCTCTCCAATATATCAAATCCAGGTCAGAGGGCCCCTACCCGAACCGCTTGCTGGAACATTGTTGCAACTGTTGGTCCCACCACGAATGTCAGGTTGAGCAAATTCCTTCCTGCAGTGAACCGACTTTCCCCTGAAAAGCCAGTGCTGTGTGCGTTGAAGGGTTCATGAATCATTCTAAACCTGGACTCATGACAAGTGAAACCAACGACATCCAGCCCACCTTGGGCAGCCCACCTGACGTTACAAGTTTCAAGGACAAAAAGAGCGCCACAACCAAACCCAGGAACAGGTTGCCCAGCATCAGTGCACCCATGATCATGAACACTGCAAGCAATACCATAGACCAGCAAAGCGAGGGAAGGAAGGAAATACCTTGGCTGAAAGCTTGGACTTGCAGATGGTGGCTTCACAGTGGAAAGGTGGCAATGTTCACGCGTCAGAACTCTGTCAACAAAAATGTGACAACTTCCCAACATCCGGCCTACACATCAAAAGACATTGTGCGGCAACTTACTGTTAGGCTGATTCTGCTTATGCTGAAACGGTAACCAGTAGTAGTAGTCGTCGTCGTGGTAGTAGTGGTAGTTGTAGCAGTAGCAGTAGCAGTGGCAGTGGCTATAGCAGTAGCAGCAGCAGCTGCAGCTGCAGTAGCAGTAGCGGTAGCGGTAGCGGTAGCAGTAGCGGTAGTAGGAGCAGGAGCAGGAGCACTAGCAGTAGCAGTAGCACGGATCGTCAGTAGCAGGGATCGTCGTAGTGATACTAGTACTAGTCTGAGCACTAGTAGTAGTAGTAGTAGTAGTAGTAGCAGTAGTAGTAGCAGTAGTAGTAGTAGTAGTAGTGGTGGTAGTAGTGGTAGTAGTGGTGGTCGTGGTGGTAGTGGTAGTGGTATAATTATTCGTATTAGTAGTAGTAGTAGTAGTAGTAGTAGTAGTAGTAGTAGTACTACTAGTAGTAGTAGTAGTAGTAGGAGCAGTAGTAATACTAGTAGTAGTAGTAGTAGTAGTAGTAGTAGTAGTAGTAGTAGTAGTAGTAGCCGCAGCAGTAGTAGTTGTTGTTGTGGTGGTAGTAGTAGTAGTAGTTGTTGTTGTTGTTGTAGTTGTAGTTGTAGTTGTAGTTATAGTTGTAGTAGTAGTTGTAGTAGTACTAATAGCAGTAGCAGTAGGCACCCCTGCCCCCTACCAACTACGCTTGCTCTTAACCACGTTAAGGGGTGGGTGGGGGGGTGGGGGGGTGGGGGGGGATGATGAAGATAGTGTTACGCGAGCACACCCAACAGTATCACCACAAGAGCCGTTTAACTCGGTATTTGCGGTACTTTCGTGATGTCAGTGATGTCAGACTTTGTTACATATTGTAAGATTGTAAGCCCTACTTCTCGACTATGCGTACTAAACTTTGCTGTTTCGAACTGTTTGCGAAAAAAACTCGAAATTGGGTGGGGAAAAGCTTCTTCGGGGATGATCACGACACTGTTTTGCGGACACCCTGAACAATATTTCGACACTCAAGCGCGCGCACACACCACGCACACCACTTCAAAAACAGACCCTCCTACGCCGAGGTTGGGCGGTAGGGGCGTGGCGAGCCCCTCCCACGTGCAGCTGGCATCTTTGTTTTTGATGTTTAGAAGATGTCGCGCTTCAGGTTTTAGAAATGTTAAACCCTTCTTGGCAGCACCTGCATGCAGTTGAGGCGCCTAGCAGCTACCGCTGCTCAGCCCGGATGGAACAAGTGTAGTTGGGAGGGGGGGGTGGCTGCTAGTAGTAGTAGTAGTAGTAGTAGTAGTAGTAGTAGTAGTAGTAGTAGTAGTAATGGTAGTGGTAGTGGTAGTGGTAGTGATAGTGGTAGTGGTAGTGGTAGTGGTAGTGGTAGTGGTAGTGGTAGTAGTAGTGGTAGTAGTAGTAGTAGTAGTAGTAGTAGTAGTAGTTTTTGTCACCCACCTGGCACACCTGTGGCAGCTCTGCGGCGACGACAGTAACTACAAGTCACACCGTACGCCATTCGTGAGCAAGGTGCAAGCCATCACAAGAACACGCAGTCCGCGAAAAAGGCGCAATGTACGCCTTAGGTTGAAGCTCTCGTGTCCAACCTCGCTGAACCCTTGACCGTTAACATCTCCATAGCTGGCGTCCACAACAGTTCAAGGAGCCGGTGGCTTTCAAACAACCACGACAGTACGGGTCCTTAAGCAATCGGAGATCTCGAAAAGCTTCGAGCTTCTTGCACGGATGCATGTGTTGATACCAGGCTACCCAGTCTGGCAAGGGGGACAGGCAAAAGACTCAAAGTTGGGAAGGACTCCTCGTTGGGCCTTGACCTGATTTAAACCCTCGATCCCGCACCGGCGATTTGGGGCTGTGGAAAGCCCGCTCTGAAACTCCAAGGCTGTGCTTGTGCGCCACATCTCCAAGCTCTGCCTGGGAGGCCCTTTAGAGGTTACGGATTAGCACGCAGACTTGGGGACTGGGAGCACCGGCTTCCCAAAAGGCCGGGTGGCACCATGCGAATCGCCCGCATCGATTTCACGGCACGTGCCAGACGCAACAGGATCATCTGGTCGGTTGCACCGCCTTGCTGAAAGCTTTCTCTTAGTCTGGCAGTTCGAACCTGGGATCCCGTCGTTGCCCGGACTACATCATCAAAAACCCACGTCTGACCCTACACATCCATGCGCTAAATTGGAATGTCGTATCGACCGTTGTAAAGCACGAACTCAATCTGGGTCCCTTCCGTCACTTAAAGCCGTTCTTATCCCTGCAATCCGGTGCCTCCCAGAGCCATTGGCCTCAACAGCCAGACATCTAGGCACGTGGTGGTGGCAAGGAAGATGTCGAACCAGTTCCTGAAACTGCAAACGAGATTGATCAATCAAGATGAGCATCATCATTGTCACAGCAAACATCATCAGCATCACAGTCTTCAACCCTGAACTGCCTACTACATATACCTACTATCACCACCTACTACCTACTAGCTACAACTTACTACTTACTACTTGCTACCTACTACGTACTACGATCTATGTACTACTCACATCTACTCACTACTTACTACAACCTAGAACAACTTACAACTGTTTTCTGCTGCTTTCTACTACTTTGTACTACTTGTACTACTTCCTGCGAGTACTACTTGCTACTACTGACTATACTCCTCCTCCCCCGTCGTCCCCGTCATCACGCGTCTAGCCTTGCAACCTTAGCGTGACAGCATGCATTGAATGTAATGGGAAAACCAAGACAAGCGACGCGGCACCACGGAAAAAGCGGCAGCCCTCGTAGTATATCCGCGCACAGAGTTCGAGGAAGTACCTGCTCCAGGTCAAATCCAGGCTATGACTTCAACAAACACACACAAATGAAACAAGGGTCTGCGGTCAGGAAAGCAGCAAGAGGCTCAGGGGCATCCAGAAACTGCCCACGAGATAGTAGCATGAGCCACCGACAGCTCTCAAATTTCAACCCTGACGGCGAAGAAACAAACCTGCAGGCGAAGGCGCAACACTGCAAAGATATTGTCGCAGGCGTTGAAGAAGTCGGACATGTCAACACCCTGGCGCTGTGCCGTTGAGGGGTTGCGCTTCTCCCAACCACTTGGCAAACATATTTCTCGACGTGTTCGCATTGGGTTTCGTGAAGTTGATGGAGAAGTTTGGGGGGCTGAGAAACAGGCACCGGCATCTTGTAATGCAAAAGCTGTCGTCCGAGGATCGGATGAACCAAAAACGACCACATTCAAAGAAGTCTGTTCGGGCCGGGATTGTGCCGGCAAGAAGACTTTCAATTGCACCTGGATTTCGTCCGATTAAGAGCCCACATTTCAAGAAAAAATCGGGAGGCCCAGGGGTTTAAGCACGTTGCCCCGGTCCTGCAGTCTCTGCTGATGCTTGTTTGCTTTTTGAAAGAAGCAAAGCTGCTTTAAGAACCAGGACTCTCCATCCATCAGAGGCTGCGTTCCGGAGCAAGGTTTTGGTCCAAAATCTAAAGCCCTTCAGAAAGCCAGGTTGTTTGCACAGTACAGGGCTTCCAAAAGGAAACCATTTTCTCATTCCTTCCTGAGCTACCCCGTACGGGGTGTGCCCTGCAGCACCCCGAACCAGATTTACAATAGAGACCAAAGAGCTCGACTTACCAGGAACTAATTTTCTATTCATGCAGCGCCCGTAGTCCTCATTCTGGAGGGGGGGGGGACTAATGCAATCCTAGCGTGATCATGGTATCCTACCGGATGCTCCGTCAGATGGAAGCTGCTACACAACCAAGTGTCTCGCACTCCGTCGTGGCGTGTTGCAGCGTGGGGAATCGCTTTTGCGTCTGTGTCCCTGTGTGTGCAGGTAGTAGTGATATGTAGTGATATTGCCCTGTAAGCGGCTCGACCCTCCACCTCAAACTTCAGATTCGATGAAGGGCTACCCGCCACGGAGCTTTTCCAGGTTTACTCTGAACTGCTCAACTAAGCATGATTCGAAAATCAAGACACCAGTCTCAGAGGGCAGCGGCAAGGGCTTTGAGAGACAAGCTACGCAGTTACGCTGAACCAGTGCTACAGCTCAGGGCCGCGGGTTTCACACACGAGCACCGAAACTCTTGAATCAAGTGTCAGGTAAGGTCTCCAGACCTATCTTGGAGCCGGTGGCGCGTCCTGGACAGTCAAACAGTGCATGCACTTGAAAGAAAAAACAAATTGAATCCGATCTCTCGGCCCGGTCTGAGAACTGAAACTGGTAATGAAACATTATAACATCTGCAGCTGCGTGGAGGCCCAGTAGACGATGTCATGCTCACGCGAGCAGAAAGAAACTACTTATACTCGTGCCCAAAAATGGCCTCACATGGGCATGTTCGCCAACTGCCATGCATCACTACGATCGGATCATCCAGCGTCACAAGGCTGATCGGACTTATGAAAATTGACCATGCTACGATTCCAACGATGCTCCGTCTACTGCTGATACTGATAATGACAATGTAAATCTTCATGCTCGAAAACTTAACGTTTCCTATTCATCCTAGACTTGGAAGTCAAGAGCAGCAGCAGCAGCAGCGTATGGTCGCAACAGCCCCATCCTTCCAACTCCAGCTCCACGGCCATGACCAGCGAGTTCAATAGCACGAAGATCCCAGCCTGACCGCTTCACGAGTGAACTCGCAGCTGCGAACCAAGAAAGCAAGCAACTCGAAGGAAGTAGAAAACCGGCACCGAAGCCTAGCTGCTACTGCCTCCATTCACCAAATGAAAATGGTGTGCGCTTTTCGGTGAATGCCAATAGTGAAAAGGACCTATGTGCGCAATTTCGACGTCCAGGCTTAAACATCCACACACACCAGTCACTGAAAATGAACTTCCTCGTAGCAATGTTTGGTTTGGGTTCAAACTGAACGTTCCCTATTTTGTTTGTACACCTGCTAACTGAAACTGCCAGACACTTGTGCCCTGTATGTCAGCATGCATCACCATCTTACGTGACAACCACATATTCTGCGAGTGCACTAAATTCAGTCCTTCCCAGTGATACGGATGCAGGCACCAAGGCGTCAGTAGCTAGCCACTGCGGCGAGTAATCCCCGGAGGCTGGATGAAATCCGGAAATCTACCTTTCTGACGAAATGGAACGCGTCCCCACCGGAAAGAACCCCTGAACCTCTTGAGGTGCAGCCAGCGTGAAGAAATATGATGCACATGATGCAGCACAACATAGCTTCATCAAGCTGAGCCATGCAAGGTAGACAGCACGAATACGATTCGAACCGCATCGCAACCGTATGTGTAAATTGTGTTGCGCTCTGCCCTTTTGCGCACTGGGCATAGAATCTGTCTGGTTCAACAACATTGAGGGCAGGACCAGCATGTCCAATCGCATCAGGATGGGGCTCTTGCCCTGGTCCTTCCCTGCCAGGCTGCTAGGGTCTTCACTCCAGGCACCGGCACGCGACCATGAACTTTTCGAGCGTTGAGGATATTAGGCTCTGGACGTCATGTCCTCGAATCATTAACCGAACAAACTAATTATGTAACGATCAATCGTCACAGACCTTCAGACATGCCCTCAACCTGCGAACAAGCAAATCGGAAGCTGCGACAAAGCCACCTCCGAAGGGGTTCGTGCCTTCTGACATTCTGCCCAAGTTCCTCCAAAGCTGCGGAGCTCACGGGGTCCCGAGCTTCAATGGAAGGTTCAAGGCTTCAAGTCTTGTTTCTCAAAGGCGCGGCTCGCCGACTGAAATTTAGAAGTTGCTCGGAACTCAAAGGTTCTCATATGTTTCTTAGGCCACCCAAGTACACAGTTGGAGCAGTTTTCAAATTGAGCGTGTCCACCGCTATACCAAAGCCACCTTTCAAGACCTTCAATTTGTGCTTGCCCCTAACACGGCTCAAACCACTTCTCGATGCAATGAAAACTATGCAACTCACGAGCGGTCATGCTGTCGGGATCTGCGCCGCCGTTCTGAATCTCCGACTCGAGTTGAGAATCGATTTCCTGGATCTTTGCAGACACTGCGTGATCCATCACCTGAGTGTCACGGCAAAATGGGACGGCATGAACTATGGAGCCAAGAACCCACCAAGTGTTAAGGCACTTCGTAAACATCTAACCTCAGGCTGCACCAAGCCGACGAAGGGAAACACAAAGCTCGGCACTATCAAATTTAACTCAGCAGACTGCAACTGCATCAAGCAAACCCTGTCGTGCATATGCAGCACCTTCCAGCTAATTGGCGCAACCAGCCAACAGCCCGTCGCAGCTTGTCATCTCAGGGCGCGACATCGTCGCTCACGCGAGGGCTGGGGACGCTGACAGTCTCTGACTGGCTGGTCCTGCAGCACTGGCAAGTCGTGCCTGGATTTTTTTGATATCTACAGTTACCCTAGCACGCTGATTGCACGGAACATTGCTTCTGCTGCTACACCCGGCTGCATAGGCAAATCCGAACTCAGCTTCTTCCATTTTCCATGACTGCTCGGTTTCGAAACACCTCAATCTTTCCATTGATTCAAGCCGGGCATCCACTGAAGTGTTTGCGGGGCAGGGTCAATATCTGGTGGCAACAGCGGCTGCAAAGGACGAGCACGGTGCTCCAGGCATTGGAAGGCACCTGGCATGATCCCACGTTCATACATTGTAGCCTATGTTGGGGACAACACGTGACAACAGCTCCTCACGGACCATCCCCAACACAAGCGGCTCAGTCCAATGCCTTCCAACACGAGCATCTGATGTGCAGGCTCGGGCCTGCGCAATCATCAGGCACACTCATCCGGCAGGAGCTGCTCATAACACTATTGACACAGATCCCAACGCATGCACAAGTTGAGCCGCCAGCTGAACTACCTCATCACCCACATCCGCATGTCGCAAAGCTTCACGGAGGGTCTCGTGCTGTGAATCCACCAGCTGATGAAGTGCTTGCCTCGGTATGTGCCCCCAAAGATGCGGCTGTTGGATGGCTACGAGACACGTGGAACGAGTAGGTCAGTCAACGAGTTGGAATCACAGCAGCGTCAGGAACTTGTTGTTGCCAAGCTTCTGGTGCAAAGACATCATGTTCATGATATGGTCCATCCCAGGTCCGACTGGCATTGACATCCACCACGTCAACGTCCCTAGGCCAATCAGAACCCCCCCAAACTGTTGGATGCACGGTGAAATACTGGAACATTCTCTGAGCAGCACGCACACTGACGAATTATCGCGGCATCTCTGCTGCCATTCTTCGTGCTCGAGCCAAGGATTGAAATCGTGACGCTGAGCTCGCATAGCTCGAATGACAGTGGATTCACACACACACACATATATATATATATATGTACATATATATATATACATCTCAATGCACCTGCAACCTACGGCAACGGAGCGTGTGTAAAACTTCGGTCGACACTGGGAGGCGGCAGGGGCCCGGGCGTCGAACCATCGCTCATCTTGCAGAACAAGGGCGACTGCGTCGATTCGAGGGGAGCTAAAGCAGTGAACTAGCGAAAGCCCTCTGCGCTGCGACGGCGACGATGCCCCTGCAGCGGGAGACGTGGGCTGCTCGCAGAGCCGGGTGCAGTTGCCGCGCACCCCGGCTGTGGATTCAGCGCCCCAATGGCCACCAGTCTCGACAACGAAAACCACAAGGCATATCAAAATCTCGATTTGCTGGCAATGCTGTCAAACCGTTTGTACCAAGCTTAGCAAAAATTTGCATCCAGAGAATGCTTCGTTCCAAAATGTTCCCGGTGGCGCGGCTCCGCGGAACCCAAAATTTGAAACCTCGCAGACCTGAGGTTGGTTCTGCGGGATTCTGGGGGCTGTTGCGGCACGGGAGCCCAAGCTCTTTTTTTTGCACGCACCTTTTTCGGAGGTACGAAGCGACGGTTGTCCAACCAACAACCTAACACCATCATGGAGCTTTAACGTTTAGTGCACTCCCCAGCCGTTTCGTCCGTGAAGAGTGAGCAATCGAGACTTGTTGAACCGTGGGAACAAGACGCTTTTCAACATCTTTTGCAATCAAGAAAATCATCACGGGATGCGACTGAGAGGCGGGCACTCTCCAAGCTGATCCGCAAAAAGCTACCGTCTTTCCAACGTCAAAAGCAGAATCAGAAGATCACGACGACCCTGGAACAATTCCAAGATTTTGGACGATTGGACGCGCTGTTTCATGATCCGATTAAGACCTTTGACATGCCAGCGACCAGCAGGCCAAGCCCCGAAGCTTTTACAGAGTGCTTATCCGAGATTTTTACATCAAGCGACGCGCATGCCGGAGCATGTCGAAACAACATTGGTTTTTCGACCATACCGCCTTGTCAGCTTTCTGAGTTTCTGAACTGAGACAAGCATTGCGACATGTGCGTAATCGACCATTTTGGCTCAAGGCATTGTGCTCAAGGCTCAAGTTAGGAGGTGGGCCCGCCATAGATACTGGCTTGCTGCCGGCAGGGGTATCTTTTTCAGCTCATGATGCCGTCTGATTCGGCAATGACTCCACCTGTCCAAGAAGCTTCCGGATCATATTAAGGGGCAGCCGTGGCCCAAATGGCCAATGTTGTTCGTAGCGAAACTCAACGTGCTCTGGCTCCGATGGAACAACAGTTGCATCACATTCATATTTCTTTGGGCCAGAAGGTTCCAGAGATGGAAAGCACCATGTCACAGCAGGGTCAGCGGATTCAAAAGCTGGAGAAGCTGTTTCAAAACGAAGGAACCGCGATCAACGACATCGGAAAAGGACTTTCGTTTGGAAAGAAAAATCACGGAGTTAGGCTACAAGACCAGTTGGAAGCTTTGAAGCAGCAAGACCCCAGTACGCAGCCGGATCACACACGCACCATGGTGGTGGGGGTGGATTGGGTGGTTTCTCATGCACGCAAGACGCGACAAGTTGGCTCACGGACAAGCTCAGCACGTTGAACAGTCCCCCACACATCGGAAGTTACATCAAACCGCAAGCTTTTCGTGGTTTGTTGTTCGCCAAGTTCAAGACCACAGTGGATCGTGATACAGCTGTAGCATTGCTCAGAAGTGCTGAATTGCAGGAGCATGGGAACAGGATATGGGCAACACAGGACTTACCACTTGAACAACGCGCTCGCAAAGTTTTTTTGATGGGGCTGCGGTGGCAACTCGGCGAGTGGGGGTTTGTCAAGCGTGAGATCGAGCTTGCTGCAGATTACTATTGGATGAAAGTCGGTCCCAAAGTTGCTCTTAAAGTTGCAACTACCAGCAGTAAGTTACAGTGCGATTGGGGAGATACTTGGGGGCAATGGGCAGACTTCCAGGACAGCACGGAGTTGAAACAGCTTGTGGACCACGCCAATGATATGCTGCAGAGGTCGTCACGGTAAGAGCAAACATGCAGTTGTTTAGGGATAGCTCCGTTCGAGTCACGCCGTTTCACAACAGTCGCGCACTTCAGGTCATAATCCTGTTTTCGAGGTGAATAAGCCGACTGATATGTTTCATTTCGAGTCCACTTCTCAACCCCCTGGTTGGAGACCTGGTTTTCCTGAGATTGCCGATGCCGAAGAGTTTTCGCGTGAAACTTCCAGCAATGGTGGGTGCTTGCCTGACTTGGTGGTATATACAAAGAAAGCTCGTTTACATTCCGATTCAAAACTTCCGGAATTGCTTGGCGAATTACATGCGATTAGCGACAACTGGGACATTGTTCTTTTCAGCGAGACGAGAAGAGCATCTGGTGCGGTCGATCTTGGAAGGGGCCATCGATTGTATTCGTCGCATCAGCTGACTATATGTGCGGGCGTCGCGATTTTAGTGCATGCACGGCATTGCAGTCATGTGCAGCAAGCAGTGGTTGTCAATGAACACTTGATGTATATGTGGATGTCACAACCCAGAACAAAACATGCAGGTTCGCAGCCATTTACATGCCACATGCTGGTTATTCTACTGACATTGATTTGCGGCTTGTATATGACCGTTTACATCAGATCCTGGAAGAAGCCAGATCTAAGTCCTTTGCATGCATTGTGAGAGGTGACTTCAACACTCAGTTGCATGTTGGCCTACGTGGCGATTTGTTGCTACAAACATTGCACATGTATCAATTGCACGTCGCAAATGGTGATCCGGAAAATGACAACACATGGACTTTCTGCAGTTCAATGGGTTTTTTTTTCCACGCGCCTCTTTTCGAACAGCGACCGCGGTCCCAGTGCACGTTTCAGCTGCGAGCTACGGGAGGGTTCAAGGCGCCGGCAGGCGGCTTACGCTGAGCGGGGGGCCGCCGCGGACCTCGGCGAGGACTTCGTGGAGGTCAGGCGCCGCACCCGCATCGCAAACGTCACCACCAGGCAGCTCGAGGAGGGACGCCGCAAAGGCACGCATGGCAGCGACCGCAAGGAGGCCGGACCAACGTTGGACCCAGCCTGCACAAGCAGCAGCTCGGAGGAGGGGTGGAAGGCTGGCCGCACGGTGCCGGGCAAGGTGACGGAGGAAGGAGGCAGCTTCAGCACCGAAAAGCCCACCGACCTCGACCCCGAAAACGACGAGACGGGCCCGTCGCGCGCTAGCGAGCTCGCGGTACGTTTGGCGCCCCTTGCGGCGCGCGGCGGCCTGGACGGCCGCGCCAGGGCGCGCGGCGGCGCCCGGCTGCGGCTCCCCGCTCCGCGTGACAGGACTGACGATCGTGGCGTCAAGCGCGAGCTGCGCCCTGTGCCAGAGGGGCAGGCCGCTTGCGACGACCTCAATGCGACGCGCGTCACTGAGGGGAACATCGATGTTCATGTCAGCAAGCCGGACATTGCGTGCAACACGCGCGCCGCCTTCCCGGCACACACGGGCGACCGCATGCTCGAGCGGAAGGGCTCGCGTCGCCAACACTCCGGAGGTGGCACAAGCGGCGCGGTGGTCACCAGGCGGGTCGAGGCGGCCCCGGCAGCGGCAGGTGCGCGGTGTCAGGGGCAGTGGCAGACGGAGCCGCCGCAGAAGGAGCACGCAGAGGTGTTCGGGGGGCAGGGTGACAGCCGGTGGCGCTCGGCTGCCACGGCAGCCCTCTGCCAGCCACGCAGGTGGCCGTCCCCGTGCGGGGGTTGCGGTGCGGCAGGCGCGGCCGCAGCGCTCCAGTCGGGTATACGGGAAAGCCGGCCTCACGTACTCGCGCCGCAGCCGTGCAAGCGGCGGCGAGGGCCGGCGGCATGCCAGCGTGAGGCGCACGAAGGCTGGCTTGCAACTGCGCAGCGTCGGCAGGGAAACGCTGGAGCAGTGCAGGGAATGCAGGGAAGGCGTCCTGCCACGAGGCCCAGTAGGCGGCCGAGGCACCGGAGGTGGCAGAACGCAGACCCAAGCCCCCTAACCCGAGCGGAAGCTGCGCCGTGCCAAGGGCATCATTTCGCAGCTCGGGCGCTTCCTCCCCGTAGAACAAGGTGCGGAGACACAGGGCGACGGCAATGCGGAGAAGGTAGTTGGCGCGGAGGGACGCGCAGTAAAGTAGCAGCAACCAGGCTGCCTGCACGTCGCTGAGGGCGGGGATGCGCTCGAGGAGGACATCCTGGCTGCGGCGCCGGTCCCGCAGTTGCCGCTGCACGAAAGCTTCAGTGCCGAGCGGCGCACCGAGCACGACGAGCCCTTGGCGCTCTGCAGGCAAGGTCCAAGCCCCGACCCAGACGTCAGTGGCAAGGCTGGGGTCCGGTTGGAGTGCAGCGAGGTTCGGCGGTTCCTCTCCAGCTGCATTCCAGACACGGGTCTTGCCCTGGTTGAGCTGGACTCGAGCATGGTCCCAAAGGGCAGCGGCGAGGGTACCGTACAGGGTGGCGACACGCTCCGGTGGGCAGACGGTGTAGGTATCATCCAGGAAGGCGAACACGCCTTCGCTTGGCTGCAGTGTGGACGCGACAGCATGAAGGGCAGCGTGCTGTGCCACCGCATAGAGCGCGGGCATGAGGGGGTCGTCGCCGCCCTCGGCTTGCAAGATCTCGTGCTCGGTGCCCGTGCCGTCAGTCCACACGTAGCTGCTCTCGGTGCCATAGAACTGGCGGCAGGAGCGGGGCAAGCTGAGATCGCGAGCGCAGCCCCTCGAGCATGGCCTGTCGAGAAACGTGGTCGAACGCCCTTACGGCGTCGACCGACAGGACGGTGGTGCGGGGATTGCACTCGGTGGCGACCTGGAGGAGCTTGTACAGCGCCTCAGTGCCCGCACGCGTGCTACGGCCGAATTGATAGGGCATGCATGCCGCCTGGAAGGCCTCCGCGAAGTGCTGTGCCAAGGCTCGGGCGACGAGGCGGCCAATGGGGGTTAAACGTCGCATTGATTACATCCTTTACACACGGAACGATTCCGCTTTATGCGCTGAAGCATCAGATGATAGAGATTTGGGTTCCGACCACCGGTCAGTGGTAGCAAAATTTCGCAGGCCGAACTCGCATCAGAAGACGGGTGGCAAACGTCATCATGCGCAATACGATTGGAGTCCTCATCACATTGTTCGTTATCAGAGTTCTTTGGCGAACAGCTTGGCCACAGAGACCCCATCATGTTTTTCGGATGTCGAATCACGTGTCGTGAAATGCGCGCGGGTGGCACGAAAGACAGTTACTAGCGACCCCAAACCGTGGCAGAAACCTTCACTGCAACATTTGATGTACCTTCGCCGTGGTTGCCGTGACAAGATGGAGCGCTGCAGATTGTCCAAGTCCATCCGTACAGAGTTGCGACGCGAGATGCGCCTCAAACGAAATGCAAAGTTGGTTTGTGTGCTGCGGGAATTCCGAGACTTGAGCCGATTGGGTTCCGTATGGCATGATCCGATCAAACCCGCCCGATCTGCTCATGCCCATGATCCTTCTCCACATGAATTTGCTGAATATCTGTCGGGTATATTCGCTGCAGAGGTGGACGACGGTCAACACGTGTTACTCCAACGCAATGTTCTTATACCGGCTTTCACCATGCCAGAATTGAAATATGCTCTATGTTATTTGCGCAAAAGCAAATCAGCTGATTCGCAAGGCCTGGTTTTAGAAATGCTTTGTTATAATCCTGATGATCTGTTAGTTCCATTGTCGGAGTTGTACAACCGGTTCTTACAAGATGGAACGTGCAGAACTGGAGGCTTATTGTGTCGTTGAAGGTGATCCACAAAGTCTCGTCCAAACTGGTACATGAACGTTTGCAACCCATTCTAGACCAAGCGCAATCTGTGGAACAAATGGATTTTCGACCCGGTTCTGGCGTGGATCAGGCATTGTGTGTGCTCGACTGTGTGTGCGCAAAAGCCATCGAATTTGATTGCGAGGTTTTGTTTGCGAGCATTGATTTACGTAAAGCTTTTAACCAAATCCACCATCAAAACTTATTCCGCGCATTGCAAGACCAAGGAGCTCCCTATGATTATATCGCTTTGCTAAGGACGTTGTATTCACAACAATCTGGGTCTGTCGCCGACAGCCGTGCTTTTCCAATTCAACGCGGAGTGAAGCAAGGTGACATCATCAGCCCTATCTTGTTTAATGCTGGGTTAGAACAATCAATCAGGTTGTGGAAGGCGCGTTTGCGAGACCACGGCATCAAGCTTGATGGTGCCACCAATTTGACCGAAATTCGCTTTGCTGACGATTTAATGCTGTATGCCAAGTCGTGGCAAGAGCTTGTTGTCATGCTGGAGTCATTGAAGGTTGAGTTGGCGTTTGTTGGTTTATCGTTGCATGCAGCGAAAACTCGCATCTTCACAACTGCCACTTCGCCTGATACCTCTTTCATCGACGTTGACGGTAACATGATTCCAGTTCTAAGTGACGACGACGCACATTTGTATGCTGGACGGAAAGAACGCGGGGACCTTCAACGTCGGTCTGTAACAGAATTGGCACATCGCATCAGTGCAGCATGGAGCAAATTCAATAAGTTGAGGCGTGTACTCGAGAACACGCATTTGTGCATCAAAGGCAAACTGAAGCTTTTCAACGCCGCGGTAACTCCTGCGGCACTGTTTGGGCTTTCTACTTTGCCATTCACGTCACGCCAACTTGAACAGCACGGAAAATGTTACGGTGCATTGTTGGATGGCGTCGTGCCGGGGATGACAGTTGGGAGGAGACGATGCGACGCATGAACGCTCGGGTATCGTTTGCTCTCCAACAACATCCAATGCTTCCTTGGTCCAGCGCCCATTATGCCAATCAACACCGGTTCGTGATGAACCTGACTGTCACGAATGCCTAGCCATTACGTGTGGCAACTTGGAGCCCAAGCTTCAACAGTTAGCCAAAGCGTCGGCCGGGTCGCCCTCCCAAGCGATGGGATGATGAATTGAACAGATTTGGATTGGCGCGTTTTCCTGGTCATAGTTCATGGTCTGATGTAGCACATTTTCCAATATGGCCTTCAATGCGAAATGATTTTGTACGGTGATGATGCAGGTCTGGTGTTGGAAATGTTCAAGCTGGGTTGCACAGAACTTCACGAATGCTTGCTTGACATTTATAACCGCATGTTTCTCGAGGAATCCTTGGAACCATCATGGCAGCATACTCTTTTTAAGATGCTACCCAAACCCGGCGATTCAACTCAGGCAAACAATTGGCGCCCCATCGCAGCTCAGAAGATTACCTATAAAGTTTTTGCAAAGCTACTTGGTTCGAGAATTCATAACGTCTTAGAATGTGCTCAATGTGCCGATCAAGTTGGTTTTCGTTCAAAGCTTGGGATTGACCACGCTCTTGCTGTTTTGGAGACGATGATTGGGAAGAGTATTGAGTGGGACACCCCGCTGTGGTGCGCAAGTTTGGATTTAAAACAGGCTTATGACAGAATAGAACCCCGATCGTTGTTCGAAGCACTTCATGACCAAGGAGTTCCGCAATGCCACATTGGTTTGTTAACAGCACTGTTTCGATCACAGACACGCCAAGTGCACACCGGGAGAAAGTTTTCCATCCAACGTAGGGTCATGTGCTCGGTCCGGCACTTTTCAATGCTGGCCTTGAGCTCGCACTTGCGCGATGGAAATGCAAAGTTTCACAACACGGGCTGCGTGTTGGTGCAACGGAGCGTCTTACAAACATACGGTATGCAGAGGACATATTACTGTATGCCAAGTCATTGGAGGAACTTGTCTTCTTGATGGAGTCGCTTGCACACGAGTTGGCACAAGTTAGGTTGCAACTAAGTTCCTCGACAACCAGGAGTTTCACAACTCAGGCATTGACGAAACCGCTCCTTGTGGATGTGTGTGGAAAAATGGTGGAAGCACTCACGTGTGAACAGACGCACAAGTATTTGAGACGACGCCTGTGCGGTTCATGAACTCGGAGACACGTGGTTGAGTTAAATCTTCGCGTTCAACTGGCATGGAACAAATTTCATGGACATATCGCCGTGTCTTGGTCAACAAGCATGTGTCCATCAAACTTCGCATGAAATTTTTTGACGCCGTCGTGACGCCGACCATATTGTTTGGTTTGCACACATTGGCCCTGACCGGTGTGCAGCTATCCAAACTTGACTCCATTCAAAGACGGATGTTGGGCTCTATGGTTGGGTGGACCAAGCTTCAAAACGAGAGCTGGCACGACACCATGAGTCGCATGAAGGTCCGGGTGACCAAGGTGCTACATCAGCACCCCATGGAAACGTGGACAAAACGTTTAACCAGGTGCCAACATTCATCCGCCATCCGAGTTGCACAGACCAATGGTTGGGTAACAAGCGTGGTCATGTGGAATCCCGAATCGAACTGGCATGACAACTTTTCTTTGGCACCCAAGCGCCGACCAGGAAGCCCACTGACCCGATGGGATGACAAGCTCCGAAGTTTCTGCAAGTTGGAGTTTCCCGACACGCAATGTTGGATGTATGAAGCCGGAAGTAGTGCATGGAAACGCAAACCAAATAACTTCGTCAACGAGTTTGTTCAAATTGTACAGTGACGAATCTGCTTGAGCGCGTGTTTTTTATTCCTCATGTCCTTATAGGAGCGTAATCTTCACCAGCGGACTCGGACAGGCGAAAGCGAAAGCGAAAGCGAAAGCGAAGCGACGAGACGGCACACTGCGGCTCGAGGTTCACGCGAGCCGCTCAGGGAGGCGGCTGTGATCTGGGGCGGCGAGCCAGCGCGCATCAGCACGCACCTTGTGCAAAGCCATGCAAAGCCGGCGGATTGTCGGCAGCACCGGGCTCGCAGTCAGCTGGGAGGTCGAGAGGGCTCGCCGAGCGGCAACCGCCAGCATTCCATTCCAGCGTTGCGCCCAAGCCATGCGCATCGCCTGGCGCAGGGAGGCCGGTGCACTGAAAGCATTCGCGCGCGCAAGGAGGCGGATGAACTCCGCGGCCTTCGCGCTTCATCGCCCGCCGGTCTCGATCAGGGTATACGTGTCGCGCCGTTTCCTTCGCTCAGCTCGGGCGAGCGCGACGCCTGGTCGAGCGTCTGCGCCTGGGTGAGGAAGCCCATCGCGTGAGAGTGGCGAGACGATAGTGGCATCGACTGCGAGCTGCGCTCCGTGCCACAAAGCAAGGCCGTTGCAGACGACCTCGATGCGGCGGCCGTCGCCGATCGGCACGTCAACGTTCATATCAGCGATGCGGACGTTGCGGGCGACCCGGGCGCTTTCGCACGGCAAACACGGACCAAAAAGAAAATTTCGCTCAACCTTTCAACGATAAGCGTGTGAAACTTGCGACACTTGTCAAAAAACGTCCGCGCTCAGTAGTGATAAGTCCAGGAATGAGACCAGTTTTGTTTGAAGACAAGTGAAGAGGAGTACGAAAAACACCAAGAGAATTGCAATGTTTAGCGAGAATACATCAATGCCTGCAGTGGTTACACTGATGATATTTCTGCAATGGGTGCAATGCCAGTTCCAGTTGTGGCTGCTCAATTTTCGACAAAGAAAACCATCTTGGTTTGGACGTCTCTTGTGTACTTCGGTTTCAAGTGCAGGTGTAAAAGTCGACGAAGAGCTGCATCTCATTCATCTTGAGCTTGTGCCTGGTTGCCGCGCTTCTTCACTCAGCGAGCTGCAACTGCAGTGGTTCGGGCCATAGCGTTTTTCCAAAAAACTAGTTTTGAACCAAATCTCGTATGAAATCGACATGTTAAAATCGAAATCTCAACGGGAACTCCACAACCAGCAGCATTCCGGCCTTCAACAGAGGCCCTCACCTGGAACCACTGCCAACATAACACAAAGAAAAACTGTGAGCAGATGGGCGTATTGAAGTCGGACAGTCTTTGCGCAATGATCAGTTGGCGTGGCCAATTAGTACGGCGGCAAGCAGGATGGAGATCTTTGGTGTTCAAGCACAGCATCAATGCCAACGAAGCTCAGTGCGCTAGTGGCTTGAATAAGACATTCGTGTCTTCAGGTTGTAGGGGTTGAGGAGTAGTTCCGCTGCTACTGGGTAACCGTGGCGAAAGGTCACGTAGCTTGCAAGACAGAGACTTTCGTCCTGTGAAAAACGCAGAGCAACTTCACTTTTTCATTCCACGGTTGAAAATCGAATCACTAAAAAAGGGTTACTTAATTTACAATAATCAATCTGAAAGAAGGCGGCGCCGCCGCAATCATATCGATCAATGGAGCTCTCCTTCACGATCCAATCTTTTTACTATTTAGAAAACCTCGAATATTATGATTAACAATAATAATAGTCAGTAATATATTATATCAAAAGAAGAAATTGTGCGTAATTTCATTTAAGCAAAAAGGACGCGAAAATTAAAAATAAATTAAACCAAAGAATCTTCAGCGAATCTTATTGTCTCATTTTCAGTAATTTTATTATCGACGAGGTTTCAAGAATAGATCGTAAAAGTTTGGTATTTCATTTAATAGGTAGAAATAGGAAAGGAAATAGAATGCGAAGAGAAGGATGCAGGGATCAGAGAAAGAGGAACTCAGCAAGGTCTCTTGCAGAGTCTTGCGCAGTCACGAATTCCCTTTCAACTTTGTTACACAAAGGAGGAATCACATGCAACCGTCCTAATAGTTTTCAGAACTTCTGTACCAACAAAGAGCAAGTGCACAGCCACTCTGCTTTTGCCTGTTGATAGCCGCCAGCACGAGTGAAGCGAAGGTTTGCGAAACAGTCAGCGAAGACCCACAGTGACTGCAAGTTCGCACACCGCAGTTTTTGGCGTCCGCGAGTCTCAGTGGCTGCAGCTGCAATGCTCGGTCCCATTAAACAACACAAAAACCCACAAACACACAAAAACAGCGGTGAAACGAATCTCGAGTGAGCGAGCGCGTGCGGACTTGGTCAGCAGTAGCTGTTCAGCCGGTAAAAAGTTAGACTCCGCTCAGCGACCTCAAGCAACAGCGGACCGTCATCCGAAGTCGCCCAAGACAACGAGTGGTGCCCAAGGCAAGGCACCGGCCGCCGTTCTAGTCCCGCACAACGGACCGCGTCCTGTTTTTTGGCAACGTCGCAAAGTCCAAAGTCCAAAGACAGGGCAGTGGTGGCAAAGAAAAGAAGAGTGGAGGCCAGGGCCTGGTAGGTCGACATCAGTATGGAATCTTCCAGAAGCTTCCAGCCAAGCTGAAGCACCAGCGCAGCTACACAACGCTTGGGCCAATGGTCTAAGCAGTTCCTCTTTTGAGCCATGCAACAATCTGGAGCATCACCACCGTCAATCTGCAGCCAGCCAGGAACGAAGGACCTGGTGTGATCTGTCTACACAAATGGGGCTCAATACGGAAAAATGAGCTAGAAGGCTAGAAGCTTCCAGCTTCGCATAAGCACCAGCAAAACAACAATTGGGTTCTACTGGGTCTGAGTCGTGTCTTTGATCAGCCACACGACACTCTGGGAGCATCACCACCCTCCTCAATCTGCCGCTGCGAGACGCCACCTAGAAACGAGCTCGACCTGCATGAACCATCGACTTACATGGGACTCAATGCCGAAAACCAGCTACAAGCTCCCAGCCAACCGCAAGCACCAACAACAACGGAAACTGGGTCTCAGCAGCTTCTTTTATGCAGGTGGGTAGTGGTGGTGGTGGTGGTGGTGGTGGTGGTGGTGGTGGTGGTGGTGGTGGTGGTGGTGGTGGTGGTGGTGGTGGTGGTGGTGGTGGTGGTGGGGTGGTGATGTGATGTCGATGCAATATACATAGATACACAGACGACATGATAAATAGAACATGTAGTAGACGACGAAATCATAGGTCTACCCCGTTTACACCTATATGTATATATATATATATACATATATATAGATACATA